TTAGTTAGACCTGGCAACGGTGCCACCTTTGACCAGTTGGGTCGAACCCGTTGTACCATTATTATGGAGTTTATTCATACTCTTATTCTACTGGTATCATTTAGCTGATTCGACTTTGCACTGATGTGGTGCGTATATAGTAGTAGAGGTGGAGATGCAAAGCCTTTATTGCCAACCCCGAGTGTATCAACCCATGCTTATACTTTTGCATTGGTCAGAATGTCGGACCACTCAGCTGAATACCTCAGCCATTAGGCTGTAGTACGCGAGGCAAAAGCCTAGGCAGTGCAACGCTGTTTTTACCTTCTCCCAGCACATGGGGCCTCCTTTTACCCGTGGCAGGGATAAATGCTATTTCAGTCTACAGGGGCCGGTAAGGACCTCCATACCAAAAGGTTGAGTGATTCCCTAGTTCTGTCGAGTAACCAGTGTATCCGAAGTCTGTCGGGGTCTGCTACGGACCTCTCTGGCCTACCCGTAGTCGTTTCTCTCTGACCACGCAGGTCCTCTTCGTCCAATGCGGCATAGATATAGACATTTAAGCAAAACTGAACTGCATTCTACTACTTCAATGAGTCAATAGAGGTTGTATCATACTTGTGTAGGACTTCCGTTTGAATATCGCGCCTACTTTATATATTCCGGATCGAAGTTATGCTCTCTGCTACGGCAACATTGTAAACCCCATTGGGTTGTTGACGTTTACGTCAACACCACATGAATGTCACTATTACTTTTTTGCTCTATGATTTTTGAGCTCTGAGACGAGATGTCAATTATGTTTTGTGGTTATGACGTGTGGCGTTTGATTTTATAGAATTTGTAAAATAAATCCCATTTTTTTCATCGGGCTCCTACCCGCAATTTCATTCCCTGTCGACCTGCCCCTATACCTGTAAGTTATAGTTTCGTTCTTTCCTCCCATTTCCTCGTCTTTGTTCGTCAATTTTGAAATGTTCTACTATAATTTTCAATATCGGCTTTACTTTATTTTAAGAACAATTCTATACTGTTTCGAAACCAGGAAAAGCAACCACAAAACACCCCATGAAGCAGCATTGTTGGATGTATCACTTGATCAAGGATACATTGGTTATGATAAAAAAAATGGCGACCGCCAGTGAAGCTCTTAGGGCCGTATCGTCAGTCGTTCCTACAATGGTAGGACGCCTTTATGACCTCCTTGATTTTAATAGCTTTCTATACTTCCGTGTCAGCGCTCCATTTTGAGGTCACCATACAAATATCTATTTCCATCAAATTGTGCATACTTTTCATTTATTATCATCTGTTATGTTGCCTGAAATTTCCTACAATTCGAGAAGAAAACATAGCCTGATAACAGAACGGTGATACAGGACAGTAGAAATCTAGAAACATCCCAGTCTGTCTGAGGGAGAGTAAAGTTGTGAAAATCAAGGAGGCCATAAGGACGACCTACAGTTGTAGTACGACTGACGATTCGGCCCTTAAGGTGATGAAAGCAGAGAATGAATTATATTTCGATGCATTTTAGTATAGTCCCAAAAGGTTTTGAGAAGTGTGCAGGTCTAATCAGACTTTTTCGATTTTCTTCGCGATTTCATTTTTATTTATTTATTTATTTATTTCCAACAGGTGAAACCCAATTACAGGAAACGCTGAAAAAAATAGCAATTAAAGAGACATGGTTCTTGGACTTAAATCTATACGTATAGTATCACACATTCTAAATAAGATTGGATGATCTATAACATTTAATAATCGTTGCACAACTGTCACTGTAAATATCACACGATTCAGTAACACTGTTCATGACGCAGCACATGAAATTAATTGCCGATTTTGTCATAACATTTGTACGGCCAGCTTGACAATAGAATGCCATTTGTTGTCGACTCCCTAGCCTTGGAACGCGGAAACATATTTTTTCAAGTAAATTTTGACAGTCAATTTTGTTGTGAATGAGGTCATACAAAAACGACAAAGCAAATATGTTTCGTCTTGTTGACAGTGAATCCAAATTGAAAGACTCTAATAGGGCACTATGGTCACAACCTCTTTCTGGATAAGAACCTGTGCATTTAAGGTGAAAATACTTTAAAGCTTTACGTTGAATGGCCTCAAGGATCACGACAGAATTTTGGTATATAGGAGACCAGATCAGAGTTGCATACTCCAACTTGCTCCTGACAAAAGTAAAAAATAAAGTTATTAATGTATCAACATTGGAGAAACCCTTCCAGTTTCTGATACAGAAACCAAGTAGTCGAGTGGCAGCCGACGAGATATTGAGTATGTGCTCAGTAAACGTTAGCTTGGTATCAAATATGACTCCAAGGTCTCTATAAGAGGTCCATCTGTCTATAACCTGACCATTGATGTTATAATTATCATAAATTAAATCGTTCACTTTTCTTGTATAAGTCATAACTTTACATTTCGAAACATTCAGACTGAGACAGTTTCGTGAACACCATGACGAAATTAGAGCTAAGTCATCTTGCAACATGACGCAATCCTCGACTGTCTTGACTGACGTGCAGATTTTGAGGTCATCAGCGAAAAACAAATGGAAACACTTCAGTTCAAAAGACAAGTCATTAATAAATATTAAAAACAATAATGGACCTAGATTTGACCCTTGAGGTGGCCCGATAGTAACTCGACCTATGACCACCATATTCGACAAATAACCTTCTATCCCTCAAATATGAATTCATGAGCGACAGCATTGCATCAGACATACCCACTGTTTTGAGCTTATCCAGAAGTGCATAATGATCAACTTGATCAAAAGCCTTCTGAATATCTGTGTAGATGACATCAACTTGTCCCTGACCGTCCAGTACTTCAGAAATGTATTGAGTAATTAGAGCCAAGTTGGTGACCGTAGATCTGCCTCTCATAAACCCATGCTGATTAATAGAGACTGCACCCCTGACCGAGCAGTAAACCGTTTCATAAGCGATGATCTCAAACAACTTGCTGAAATTGCACAGGATTGCTATTTGGCGATAGTTGGAAATATCAGAGATATCTCCACTTTTGTGAATAGGACATATTTTAGAGGTCTTCCAGATATTTGGATATGGCTCTGATTTTAGAATTAGGTTGAATATGGAAGCCAGCGGTTTCGCTAGTATATGAATGCAATCTTTAACGAAAAAACTTGGAATACCATCACATCCAGACGTCATTTTGTTCTTTAATCTTTTCGAAGCCCTAATTACGTTTTCTTCACTTATATTTTTTAAAGAAATGATATCGGTAGAATTATTTGTTGGAGGAGATGACTTTAGTACACCAGACGGGATAAAAACTGTTGAAAAGAAGGTAGCAAAACTGTCCACTATATCCTGAGGCGTATCGCAGACAATGCCGTTAAGCGTCATCCTGGGGGGGATTCTAGATAGGTATTAAGTATAATTTCACGTGTGAACCATGGGGGATACGAAAACATTTTATTTTTACATTTAGGGACATGGACCTCAAAGATGTTATTGATAACTGAATAGAAGGCGGTACAAGCGACATCAACATTAACTGCACTGATCACCTCCGTCCAATTAACATCTTGCAAGGCTGTGTACATTTCAGGAAAGTTAGTTTTGCGAAACTTAAACCGTGGAGAATTAGCAAATGGGAATTTCGTTGGAGATCCGGATGTAATGAATTCCATGATCAGTGCAGGATGATGAACGTCCTCTTTAACAGAAGGTGTATTATCTCTGAGGACTTCTATTTCGATATTTCCTAAAATTAAATCCAGAATTCGACCATTTATATTTGGAATATTATTAAAGTTAGTTAAATCTAAAAACGAAATAAAGTTGCTCATTAATTGAGACTTCTGATCATTAACGTCACTGTTGAATGATGCGACATTAAAGTCACCAGAAACAATTATTTTACAATTACTGAATGCATTCTTAAATACTTCCAAAGCTTCAAGGTACTGACTAAACATGTCCAAATTAATTGAAGGCGGAATATAAATAGAAAAGATAACAAAATGCTCATGGTTAATAATAAGCCTAATACATACAGTATCAATCGACGGAAAGTTTCGACTCAAAGCACTAGCGTCAATTCTAATTGCATGGAAATCGCGTTTTATGGCTATCAGGACTCCTCCGCCGGAAACTAAGCCAGATCGAATAAAGTCACGATCACACCTGAACACACAGTATTCAGCCGGAAATAATTCACTATCACTCACATTCACAGACAGCCACGTCTCAGTCAAGCAAATTAAATCAAATTCGTAGTCACTGACTGCATTGAAGAATGACACCGCCTTAGAATTGAGACCACGAACGTTCTGGTAGGAACACCTTAGCTTAAGTCTCTCATGACAATTTGGTCTATTATTGGGTTCAGTTATGCGTTTAAAGTAACAATCTTCGGAACCCCATTGAAATATTTAATTCTGAGGTTACTTTCACCTTGCGCGATCCTTTCATTCAGTTTGCTCTTTAAGTAGCGATAGAGCTCCATCTGTTTTGGAGTTTTATCAAAAGCAACCGATGTATTTTTATATTTTTCATTGTTTTTTAGGATATTAGTCTTCTTGATTATAGTATGAACCATCTCCTCTGAGTGAAAGATTGCCTTTACTGGCCTGGTCGAGCCTTGTCTAAATTTTCCAATGCGCAGAACCTCAACGCCCAGTTCAGTAAAATTACCATCGACAGCCCCAAGCAAATCTTTAACAACAGCTTGATCAGAAGCCAGTCTTTCCTTTCCATCAGTACCTGTCGGTTCCGGCAAGCCAAATATCATCAAATTCTTTTTACGCTTTTCTCTTTCATGAACTTCCTGAACAACCTCCTCAAGCACAGAGGAATCAGATGAGTTTGAACTATTGGTAGCCTTAAGCTCACTAATTTTATTCTCCAAAGCAGACATTTTCGTAGCGAAATCGTTCTTAAGGGTCTCCAATAAGCTCCTCAAATCACCTAGTTCGCCCATAAACATACTACAGTTGTTGCATAAAAATTTGACTGACTTGGACTTACTACGAGTAACCCTTACCTCATCAGCACTGAGACCTACACAAGTGAGGTGTACATCCTTATTACAACCATCACACGATATTGACGATCCCTGACGGGACGTATTCATCAAACAGTTAGGGCACTTGAAGGTACTCATGTTTAAAGAATTCCAGCAAAAGACGGCAACGTCGAGATGGTACGACTCTGCAGGTGCAGTGCCAGGTATAGCACAAGAAAACACCGAATAACAGACTGCAAACAGTCCCAGTCACACACTAGATGTTAACTATGACGATGATGCACTTTCAGAAAATTACATTCACTCTATTCCACATTTATAGGCTCTATAAACAAACACTGTGATGATCAACTTACAATGTTGCCACCTTGCCACCCACTGTTGTTAGTAGTTTTGTATTAGTTTACAGTGTAACACTTTATTGATGCTAAGTATATTGTAAAATATGCCAGAATCTTTAAATTGGACGTTTAAGACATCACTTACCCGTGACGCTGCATTCCAGTCCGCTAGGAACATTCCGGTACCTCAGAAGGGAACGTCAAAGAGCTGGGACGTCGCTAACCCCAGTAACGCCACCATCGCGTCGGGAAAACGTGAGGCCAACCTGACAGAGCGCTAAAGCGTGAGCTAGCTGCTACATCAGAGACCGTCGTACACCCTTGAATATTCATGCAATTTCTGCGCGTTTATTAATTTGCCAAATTGGATGTGTTAGATCAATATTAATGCACAGCTGTTATACTGATGGAACACTAGATTCAATTTGCCTCGTGCCAGGCTGTTAATTGGTTTTTGAAAACGATACCTAGATGTCGATGTCGTGAAGACACTTTAGATAAATAAGCTGCAGCTGGGTCACTCTTATTCTCAGTGAAAAGGAGTATAATTGAGGTGAATTGTCAGTGTGATTTCGATTTCTTTCTTATACCTTGCAAAATATATCAAACACTTTATTCATTAGCCCAGTTCAAACTGTGATAATTTGTAACGACGACGAATAAAGATTGACCACAGCAGCGTTGATTGTATGGTTGTTAACTTCAAATCTGTTGATCCTACATTGTAAAAAAAATTAAACGACTTTGACAAATGCCCACCCAATAGGTATATGCTATAAATAGAAGTAAAGGTAGCGTGAAAACTATAATTATCACAAATACCAAAACCAATGTTTTGTTGTTGTATACTTGAAGAAACCTAAGAAAAGCTCAAAAAGAAAAAAAAAGGATCAAGTACGTTTACTTTGGAGTTTCTACACAACGCCGTCATCAGCCCATAAAGGGTTGAGCTCGGCAGAAGTTAAACCCTCTAAGAAACAAATTAGCCACGAACATATACAGCAAACAAATTAAATGGATCAAGTCAGTCAATCAGGCCCATACAATTAGTCCAAGGTAGGCCGGACGCTGAGATCGGATAGCAGAAGGAGACGAGAATCGGAAACATCTCTATCAGATTAAGTTAAATGTACTTGGTAACCTATGATGTGAAACACTACTAATTTGTTCGCAGAGTTACCGGGCCTATGAGAGTATATCTATGCGAACATCAAAAAATCTTTTAAAAAATGATCAGGATCCTCTAAAACGTTAAAAAACGACGTTAAGCGATATTTTTTTGGCCGTCGTTAGACCGATTTTTCAAATCTACAAAGCTTTCTCCCTTGACGTAGTGGTAACCTTATGTAAAAAATTCAGTCAAGCTCGAGCAGTACTTTCCAAGTTATAGAGGGGCCAAGTATTAATGGGCAAAAGGACATACAGAGCGACGGAGATTAGTGACATGTCTTTTCGTGATGTTTATGTCATAACATCTAAAAAACATACATCTCAATTTAGAAATTATACCATACTTCCTCGCCCAGTGGCGTAGGAAGTAAAACAAAACGCCCATCATCTTGGTAAACTGTTTGACATAAGACAGTGCTAAAAGGAAACTAGTACTGCCTAGTCTAACGATCACAACTTTCATATCATGTATTAACAATTAAAAAACTGCACAGCATTGTGAACTCTAATAAGGAAAGTATTCAAATCCAAGAAATCATTAAAACGTGAAATCATATCTATAAACGATTTACGTCGTTTCCAACAAAGAATTTCTGACTACCAAAGACTGTCAAATACGGTCATCCATACAAATTTATGATATGGTGTTGCCTACTTTGCGTAGTTTCAGTACACACTTTTGACGCATTTGTTCACCAATGCCTAAAAAGTGACAGTGTTGTATCAGCAGAATTATAATACTTAGGCTTATGCTGTAATGAAAAAAAGAAATGTGTCATAGCCGGCGCTTTTAATATATACGTAAATCTGTTGGTGACAAATAGGAAATCATCAGACTTTATTGACATAATTCATTCCTACGGTTTGAAAGCAACTATTACCGATTTCACTAGAGTAAAGAATGACTCCAAATCATGTGTGGACAATATTTTCATTAACACAGATGTGAACTTTCAGTCTAAGATTATTGATACACTTTTTTCTGACCATAAAGGGCAACATACCCTCTTTTCACTCAATACCAATATCGATCATGAATCCAAATTGATGAGAGTGTATTCTAACTCTAATTTATAGTAGTGTCAACGTAAACAAAAAGTGGGAAATATTTTCTCAGATAATACAAAGCAATTACTATTTTCCTCTGAGGATAAAAAAGCGAGCTGCGGGAAGTAAGAAACCTCCTTGGATTACCCCAGAATTGGATCGACTCAGGAACAGGGTGAGTGCTCTTCAAATGATTTCCCAAAACGATATAAAATATAAAGATGTTTTTAAAAGTTACGAGTATAATCAGACGTATGGGGAACTCTTAAAAGATTCAAAATCGCAATACTATTTAAACAAAGTAAATAATCATGGTAATAGAAGTAAAAAAATTTGGAATACAGAACGAGAATTAACTACCACACCCAAAACGTCGTCAGATCAGTTTGTTTTACCGGTACATAATGATGTAAATGCTTTAGCAAACCATTTCAATAAATGCTTTGTCGAAGCTGCTCAAAAACTCCTCTCAAAGCTACCAAATTTGAATTATGACTGAAACCTAGAACTAAAAAATAAAACAATATTTTTAACTCCAATAGATCATGACGAAGTGCTCAGAATTGTATGCAACCTAACAAACATAAAAAGTTGTGGTGATGACAGCGTCCCAATGTTTATCATTAGAAAAATGATAACCATAATATCTGACCCTCTTCTTAATATCCTAAATACATCTCTTAGTGAAGGAGAATTTCCAGAAGCATTAAAAATTGCACTCGTAATACCAATCTATAAAAAAGGCGATCCTGATGACATGGACAACTACCGTTTAGCTTACTCATACATTTTTCAAAAATCTTTGAAATTGCTTATAACAACCGTCTAATTAATTTTTTCCACTCGAATAAATAGTTCACCAATAACCAACATGGCTTCATGAAAGGTAGAGGTGTGAACACGGCACTGTTCGATTTCACCACAGCAATCCATGAATATCGAGAGAATCAAGGAGCAGCATGTGGTTTATTTCTGGACACGTCAAAAGCATTTGATTGCATTGATCACGAAATATTGCTAAACAAATTATATAAATATGGTATACGCGGGAATGCGTACTACTGGCTTAAATCTTATCTCTGTAATAGAAGACAGAAAGTAATTTTGAACAAAACCGGGAAACGAATAACATCTAGTCCTCGGACATAGTACTGGTGTTCCTCAAGGCAGTACACTGGGCCCAACATTATTTACTATGTGTGTGAGGTGAAGTGGTAAAGTGTGAGGTTAAGTGGTAGAGTAGCCAGATGGCTAAACTTCGCCTCGCAATGTGGAGGGATTAATAAAGACATTATTATTATTATTATTATTATTATTTATATTAATCATATATCCACCACCACGAAAAAAACACAAACTCTAAGTTTCATCTATGCAGATGGTATAAGATATAACTAATCTGATACCAAATAAAGGAACGTCTGATATCCGAATCTTGATAGAGACCCAAATAAACCATATTCAAAACTGGCTGCAGATGAATAAGTTAGCATTCAACATACAAAAAACGTGTTGTAACCTATTTCAGTCAAGCCATGCCACCAAAGAACTACCCTTAATTAACGAACTTCTATGTATCAAAAGCGATACAAACCTCCTGGGTGTCACCTACGATAGCTGTCTTAAGTTTGATAAGCACATTGTAGAGTATGGCTTCAAAACTCAATCAAGCATGCTATGCACTACGAGTACTCACTTGTCACCTGCCCTTGCAAGCTGTGCAGTCTGCCTACTATTGGCTTGCGTATTCTATTATGTCTTATCAAATAACAATTTGGGGTAATAGTCCCGCAGCCAATAGAATTTTTATCATACAAAAGAGGATAATAAGAACAATGTTCAAAATGAAACCTAGAGAGTCATGTAGAAGTATATTTAAAGTCAACCGCTTATTAACATTACCGGGAATTTATATCTGTAACACTCTACTATTTATCTTTAGCCATAAAGCAAAGTTTGAAAAAAACGTCTTCCACCATAGTTACAATACTCGCAAAAGTCAGAAATACTTCTACCCATCACACAAGCTAAATTCTACCAAAAAATGTCGACATTACTCTGCACTGCAACTTTACAATGCTTTACCTCAACATCTTCAATCCATTTCAGCATTCACTGTATTCAAAAAAAGCATTCATAAATATATATGCGATATGGAACCATATAGTATTGAAGAGTTCTGTGCTCTAGTTAAACCGTAAGCATTAATATCGCTGTTGTTGTATGTTGTCTATAAAAGAGTGGTTTTTGTATATATTTTAGAAAAACTGTGTGTTATTTACACTGTATCACAATGACGTGTTATCTCTGTTATAAATTTCTTTGTTTTTTGTTTATAACTGAGAAACTAATAAATTTCTATTCTATTCTATTCTATTTTATTCTATTCTATGCTATTCTTTGCTCTTTGCCTGTTATGTAGAATGTGGCACGTCTTGAAATCGTCTGATACCACAACTGTCTGGAAATAGTCGTTCATTTATAAAATATATTACTGAAAATATGAATTCAATGACAGAACTGTAAGAAAATTTGCTTATTTCAAGTGCACTTTGATCCTCCCTACAGATCATGAGGATAAGGGTGCAAACAAATTCTAGACTAGCCCATTCTGGCTTCTAATCTAAATTCGTTGGGAAGATAAGCTAATACTCAATGACACATATCTGACAAGCAACGGTGCGTCACTCCATTTGATTTTTAAGTGATATGGTATCTCTATACTTTTTTCAAAGACGTAAATGGCAATTCAGCATTTTACCTGTCTGATACAAATTTTGCTGGAAACGAGAAGAAATTTAGCATTTTACCTACCTGATACAACTGCCCTGAAAATAAGAATGACTCAACTAGGTTTGGTAAAATCTTGTTCCACATACTGTGACACTAGTAGGTGCGGTAAGGAGATATTGTGATATAGGCTTTTACAAACAAAGGAAGAGAATGGGTTGCCCTTAAGCCTTAGGATAGAAGTACTTTAAAGTAGGGCTTACTCCTCTGTTTGCTAGCTCATTTTTTATAATAGGGCAGCCGAACAACCAAAGCGTAAATACAGAAGTACTGCAACTGCTGTAAAGGAGGTCCAATAATGGCCAAGTGGCATGGAACTTATCTCTGAGTGCCTGTATATCATCTACAAAGTCGCAGATTTGATTTATTTAGAAAAAGAGATACAATGCTAGACTCAAATTTGTTTGATAGCGAACATCTGATCTGACATAGTATCAACGAGTAGTTGTAATAAGAAAAAAAAAACGTGAAACGTGCTTCCTTCCTTTTTGGTAAAAATTCAATAATCCCAAAACATTTAATTTTGCCGAAATTGGTGTTGAAGACATTTCTATGCTTTATATAGTGAATCAGCAAGAGGTAAGCTTGAATCGGATGACCATGAAGAGCAACTATTCATATTGATAGTGCATAATCATAAATTTAGAAGAGTCATACGTTCACGAAAAAATATTCAATATCAAAACTAATTAGAAAGAGCTCTGAGCTTACACAAACAAACGGCCGCGCGTAGAGGTCTATTGCATGTGTATGTGAGAGGCAGATGGATATATAAAAGTAATTCCTATAACCCAAAACTGTGAAATGACCTGTAACACAGTTTTCTTATTGTTGCCTATATAATATGCACGCATTTAACTATCGCATTTGCTTAAACATGGGTCCCAGTTCTAATCACTGATGAATATTCTCTGAACTTTATTTACTATACATTAACGTGAAATAATATTAGATTCTCAGCTATATTTTGTGACTTCTCTTACACATGCACACATCTTTTATATTTTATATATTGAATTAAGAACATACTTCGTAAACTGCAAATGCATCCATCCAATACCAAGATAGAGAATGAATTCATCAAAAAAGAACTATCTTTTTAGCAGCACCGCATGCATGTCTCTAAATAATGATAGCACGTGGTTATACTCTATCAGCTTTTGGTGGGATGAAGAGGATATCTCAAGACACCCACCTTTAAGCCACTTTAGAAGGTCCTAGAATTGGATCTTGCATAAAGACTGCTACACACAGTGCCGCCGGGCAAGCCGCCGGCTAAGCCTCCGTACACCCGGCGGCATACAAAGCCGCCGGCCTTGCCGCGCTTAGGAGCCGCCGGCATTGCCGCCGGGGTGTGCCGGCGGGTTTCGCGGCTTGCCGGCGTCACTTCCTTCCTGACATTCGAGCGGTAGTGTTGTGCGGTTTGTGTGTTTAAACAAATTAAAATGTCGTTTAATTGGGACGACGAAGCTGTGCCGCTCTTAATTGAAAAATTTCATGAAAATGATATATCCCAAAAATGCAGACTATAAGAATAGGAACAAACGAATGGACGCATTGAACATAATTGCAAGTGTATTTGACATTGATAGAGGCGAAGTAGAGAGAAAGTTAAAAAATGTAACCTCTCATTATTTTCGGGAAAAAAAGAAGTTAGAACAGTTGCACAAATCTGGTGCAGGCATAGACGATGTATAGAAACCCAAAAAACATGCTATTGCGCAAACGCTGACACCCCACATCATCTTTTTTATACTCTTCTATCATTACAGTACCGTTCCGCCATTTTCTATTTTGTAAACTTGGGTGAAACCAAAACCTTCTCGTCCCTTTTGTATTTTTTTCTTATTAAAATAAAAATTACAACTGTGGCGGCTGTGCTGATGATTTCCTTATTCATTTTAACCAACCAACCATAAAATATGCACTTCACTAGCGTTCCATGTGACTGTCACAACCGGAATGATGCTTGGCGGCTTTGCGCGGCTTGTATTGTCGCGCAAAGCCGCCAAGCATCATTCCGGTTGTGACAGTCTCATAGAAATCTAGTCAAGTGTTGCATTTCTGGGATTCCATAATCTATCATTTTCATGAAACTTTTCAATTAAGAGCAGCACAGCTTCGTCGTCCCAATTAAACGACATTTTAATTTGTTTAAACACACAAACCGCACAACACTACCGCTCGAATGCCAGGAACGAAGTGACGCCGGCAAGCCGCGTAACCCGCCGGCACACCACGGCGGCTCCTTTGCGCGGCAAGGCCGGCGGCACTGTGTGTAGCAGCCTTGAGAGAGTAGCATAATATAGTAGATCGAAAGTCAAAAGCTACGATGAGCCTTACTTACTATTTGGATGATCCTAGTTTACATTTGTGTTACTTTAACTAAGAAGCGGTCTGCTGCAGAATAAAGCAAAAATTGGAGACATCCTCATCAAGAAAATTAATAGTAATCAGAAACGGAAAATACAAATCTACCGACCGTCCAACGTAACTGCAACATCGCTGTCCATTTTTCCGGTTGGGCACCTCCAATTATCCTGGGATAAACACACGCTGAACGCATCAATCTCCAGGTGCACCACACGAAGAATTGCTCTTTTGTCGGAGAGGAGATAATGGCAGTAGCGGATTCTGAGCACCGCGTCAATATTTTCTCTAGAGACTGGAAAATTCTACGTGAAAACATTCGTTCTGTGTTGACTCGCGATGGACGCTATTGTCAATGTTGCCGTTATGGAGAGCCATACACTTCTAGTAACTCAAAGGGGCTGCTTATCTGACTGCCTGTGTTCAGTCCAGATCCAAGTATGTATAGTTGCAACAAAATCGGTATTACCAAAGCCCCTGCCCTCCTCTCTCTCTCTGTCTCTCTCTCTCTTTCGAAATGGGTCTGGGAGTACTATATTTGATATCAGAGTTTAGTAGCTGTTATGATCATAGTACCCACCTCTGGAAAATATAAGCATCATGTTTTTGAATTAGGGAGCGGAAGTAGATTCTGCTACGTACTGGGATACTAGAAATATAGCTTTAAGGCTCAGAGTTGCAAAAGTAGCATAAAAGTATTGATTTAGTGAGAAGTTCAACCACGCTTCTGCCATCACCCTCCTGTATATTTTTCTGCCTATTGGTCTGTTAGTGTTTTTGGAACCACCCAAACTCATAAAGAGAGAGATCCAGCTTCTAGACATAAAAAAATGATAACAAGAAGATGGACTCTATACTTCCCACTCCTTTATCACGGCTTATGATACGATTTACCTTCTAGTGCGACAACGCAGGTATTGCCGGCTAGCTTCCAAGAAAGTCTATGTTTCTTGCTTTTCCAGTTAATGTACATGATTATGAGTTTTTATAATAGTGGCATCATGTCAGTAAAATATCAGTTGTAAAATTCCGATATTTCTGAAAGGAATGGGTCAGATCTGTTCAAAACACTCGGATGGAATCCAAACTTGCCTAGGTATGTCCACTTGCTAACGATATATCATTAATCTCTATATTTCAAATTATCCCTACTTTACCGGGTTTCGTTTTCCATATGGAAATCTATATATTTTCTTCCTTAATTCCCTTTCCAACGATTTTCACAAGTGAAATTTTCGATTCAAATTGCGGCGCTATAAAGGAACCTGTGAATAAGCTAAAATTGCTTACAAGACAAAAAAAAAAACAAGATGTCGATGTGATCAAAATAAAAAAAATTGTTTTATTTTTTATTTTATAATAGACTATCTAAACAACTCCCTTTGATTACAACAAACTGTAATCATTAATATTATCCTCTTCTACCCTATTCTACCTATTTTGCCCAACTTTTATAGTTGTAAAAAAAGATTACAAAGTTAAGAACTAGAAACTATTAGGCATTCATATACGGTTCAATGCGCCCTCCATTATTTTCATAGCATTTATTGGCCCTTCTTGTGGTTTCTGCATCCCATTGTATAAAAAATCTTCAGATAAGGTGTTAATTGCTGCCGTTATTCGCTGTTCTAAATCTAACAGATCTATAGGAGGCGTGACAAGTAGGCCCAAATGAAAAAGTCTAAAATGGTGAAGTCGGGTGATCGTGCGAGCAACATAATCGGACCGTTTGTTCCTAGCCAACGATTTCCGAATCTATCCGTTAAATATCTTGTAACTTCTCTGCTCTTTTGGGTGGGCGCTCCATCTTGTTGGAATACAACATCCCTATTGTCAGCCAGGGGCAAACTACCAAGAAAACCTTCTATTTCATTTTGCAAAAAGTTAATATAATCTCCCTCATTTAAGGGTTCATGAAAAATATAGGACCAACTACTCGGGTTCCCAGAACTCCGAGCCATAAGTTCACTCCAAAACCCCCTTCTCCCCCCTTCTCCCCCCTTCTCTTATCAAACGTGGATTTTCAGTTGCCCAGTAACGTGTATTATTTTTATTAAATAACCCAAGGTTTGTGAAACGCGATTCATCAGACCACAAAATATAATAATGAACATTTCTATCTTCTTGAAGTTGAGCATGAAACCAGTTACAGTAGGCCAGTCTTCTTGGAAAATTATCTTCATATATGTAAGTGATGATGTACCTGATATTTATATGAGCGGAATCCATGTTCCCTCAAAATCTGCTTAGCTGAGTCACGATTTATATTTGTTGCTTGTTTCAGTTGCCTAGTAGATACCGTTGGGTCAAAGTGAACATACCACTTACAACTTTGACTCTAACTTGTATGAATAACTTTGATGTCATCTATGAGGATATCGCTCAGCGTACAACGCACAAGCATTTCTAGAATTTTTTCTGCATTTACCGGATATTAACAACATATCAACTTGCTCGTTTCTTTGAATTGACCTTCATTTGTTTTTTACAGTCTACCGTTCTTTTCAAATAAATCGTATTTGAATACCTTGTAAATTTTCATAGCTTTCTTACTTTCTTGCCGTGGTTGGTAGCTTCTATGAAATAGTTGTAATTTTAATTTATTACTAAACCGGAAGTAGCTTGCAGAACATCATTGGAAATGAATTTTCATTTAGAGCCAATAATAAAAAAACTACTTTTCGTTTTGTAATACCTGTAGCTATGGATGTTCATTCACAATTTTTTTTATGCAGCTCATTGACAACAAAAGTAATACTTGTTATACATCAGTGAATAGAGAACTTTACAAAGAATATGATTTCTGAAAAAAGTATACAGGGTCCTATTTAAAGTCCTGATTTTTTTTCAAACAGGTATACTAACAAGAAAAACCCATAATTACAGGCTTTCATTTATTTAGCCCATTTCAATAGACATATGGCGGAGAGCCTATTCATAAATTCCTTTACAGCGTTTCCATTTTAAAACGAAAATGTCACTTATGACACATAGTTGGAAATGGAATTTTGCATAACTAACATGTAAAACACATAATTACAGGCTTTCATTTATATAGCCCATTTCAATAGACATTTATTGATCAGGTCACCAATATCTTTTGGTCTTGTAAGCAATATGGCGGAGAGGTTATTCATAAATTCCTTTACAGTACCGCCATTTTTAAACTAAAATTTCACTTATGACATCGTTGGAAATAGAATTCTGCATAGAGTACGATTATAGATGAAAATATACAGGTTTCAATTTCGAAAACAATTAGACGGTTAGACCAGAAGGGATAGATAACCCATTCAACTTTTCATAAATGCCTCAATGAATAACTAAACATGCCCCAATCTTGGAGCGTATCTTTATTTGCCAAAAAAAACAGCGTCTTTCATTGTCACCCGGTATATATAAATATATTATTATATAATATCCCAACTTCAATATTAATGAAAACGTTTGGATGTCTGTTACTCAATCACGTCAAAATGGTTTAAATCATCTGGAAGAAATTTGGTACTGAGATTATAGTCTGGAATAGTACATATACTACATTTTATTCCAGAAAATAACTATTTCTCGGGCAACAGCCCAATAGTCTCAATAGAATTTTATATGTCTGACCCGGAAGTGCTCCGTCGCTGGTCCGACCGAAATCAGTAAATTCATATAAAAAGGACTGCAGTCTGATTGTCTGTCATCGCAAAGACCAGAGCAGCCATGGCCCAACTCTACCCATTACTGGGTAGACACAGCCGGATGCCGCTAGCAATCAAGCTACGGCTGATCAAGGCCATCGCCAGACCTCAGCTCGCTTATGCCTCCGCGGTCTGGGGGTACGCTGCTCCCAGCTAGCGCAAGCGACTTGCTGCTCTAGAGATGAAGCTACTCCGAATCGCCACCAGTGCATCATCCTACGTAAGAAACTCGACCTTGCGTAGAGACCTGCATTGGGACACCATTCACGAGTACATGAGGAAAAAGGCAGAAAAGACCTTTCAGAAAGCTCAGGTCCACCCGAACGAGCAGCTACGACTCCTCATGGACTACGATCCGGACGAGAGGCCTCGCAACCGCAGAGCCAAGTACCCTAGACCCAAGTCACAGTTGGCAGGCGCTAACTGGAACATTGACTAGGAGTACCCGCGGTTGCTCCCCCCCACGGCGTGGAAGCAGAGGACGAGGACTAGGACCACCAGGACCAGAACCAACCAAGACCAGGACCAACCAGGACCAGGACCCACCAGGACCAGGCAACAAAACAGGTAGAGGACTTGAAACTCTTGATTTTTTGAAAACAAGATGCTCGCTTAACGACATCGATAGAACTGTGCGAGGTAAAGGGAACCAACCCGACGTTCCCAGATACTGAAACACAGGAGGAGACGTTGTAGCAGACCCCAGGTCACGCACAACACATCGCCTTACCGAGACGCTGGTGAGTCGGGCCACGCGGTGGTTAGGGTTTAGTGGGTATTAAGTAGTCTCCTCAAGACAGCCTGGAGTCCCACACACGCCGTAGCTCGGGCTATGATAAGGTGCCTAAATGAATTCTCGCCTCACAAAAAAAATTTCTATCCAGTCTATTAGCATCAGGTCTGAACCAGAATATGGAGAGACGTAAAAGTTACTAATTGATACCCGAGGTAGATAACGCGCAAAATCGTCGTCGAGCTTGCAATCAATTGTGGTGGCTGCTATCAAAATTTCCGCCGACACTCAACATGTAACCGTCAAGCGATACAGACGTTGCTCCAGCTGTTATCATCGACTTCGTACGCTTGCAACAGTTTCTAAGACAAAACATTGATTTTAAGTAATGCGAAAACTGTCGATCATGTTTTGTATCTTTCATGGCATTAGTAAATTGATATGCTTGGAAAATTTAGCTAATTTATTAATGCCGCCACTTGTACTATGTTTTCCTCTTTGGCAAAATATGGAAAATTTGTGTGAGAGACAGAGACAGAGACAGAGATAGAGACAGAGACAGAGACAGAGACAGCGAGAGAGACAGAGACAGAGACTGAGACAGATACAGAAACAGAGACAGAGACAAGAGACAGAGTCAGAGACAGAGTCAGAGACAGAGTCAGAGACAGAGTCAGAGACAGAGTCAGAGACAGAGTCAGAGACAGAGTCAGAGACAGAGTCAGAGACAGAGACAGAGACATATACGGAGACAGAGACAGAGACAGAGACAAAGACAGAGACTGAGACTGAGACTGAGACTGAGATTGAGACTGATACAGAGACAGAGACAGAGACAGATACAGAGACAGAGACAGAGACAAAGACAGAGACAGAGACAGAGACAGAGACAGAGACAGAGACAGAGACAGAGACAGAGAGAGAGACAGAGACAGAGACAGAGACAGAGACAAAGACAGAGACAGAGACAGAGTGAGAGACAGAGACAGAGTCAGAGACAGAGACAGAGAGAGAGAGAGACACACCGACGGAAGTGAAATGGGTTTTCTTGATGTACATTTGTGAGTCTTTTCACGATTGCAATACTTTCTCGTAACTGGCGTGGGGAGTAACTATAGGATATCTCCACCCAAAAGTTATATCTTTCGGCCTCCTTCAGATTTAGCATACTGGAGTATAGTTGTAGACACCGTTCTTGGCGGTTACGTCATCAACGCCATGTGAAATGTGTAAACAGATCGAGTCTCCATACCATGCACAGATTAATCTTCAGCGCATCTCCAGTACTCCAGTATGAATGAAGTGGGTAACAAGGGACCGCTCTTTTCATTCTCTTCCTGGACAACAAATTTAGCACGAGCTATCGTCCTTTTCCATTGATCGTAGGTCCAGGCATTATACAATTCTATATTGAAGATTTATAACAGGACACCTCGAATAGCTCGCCGATCTCAAGCAACTTGTCACTTTGACAAATATGATTGAGGGCACACACACGGCAAAGTTTTCGAGACGGAGACGCAACTAAAAAACGTATGTCTTGAGCCTCTTGAACAAACGTTCACACAGGGATAGGTTGCATGCATATATATGAGGTAGATGGAGATATATAAAGTGAAACTGGTAGTCTTACTTTGATCCGCCAGGAACGGTGACTACAACTATAACAACTTCTACCACTAGGAACCTGCACAAGGCTATTATAGATACTCGTCCTAGCGATAAGTTGTATTTGTACAATCTTAAATCACCATGTGGCGAATCGTTTTCGTTGACGCTTTCATCAATTGTTTGGCGCTGGTAAAGTCAACGAAACGTTTATTTGTATGCGAGTACCGACTTGCTTGTGGAAAAGAATATATGTATGTATGCTTGACGACTTTCGTAAGGTTGGATACCACCACCTCCAGTATACAGTTGTGTAGGTTAGATACTGTCAATATAATTATTATTTTGTAGGATAAAAAATTCGATAAAATTCGACCCCTGAACCACGCACAGCGCTGTTTCCGGTAAAATGGAAATGGAAAATAGCCCATTATCGAGCAGATTCTTATTCGGAGATGTGCATGCCAGGACGTGGAATAAGTTTTCAGATATTTCTCACCTGACACCTGCTATCGATCAGCCGCAGTCAGTGCCGAATATAGGAAACTTCTATTTGACGGGCTAATAGTATTTCCCGTCCACCCCATTCCAAAAGAGATCTTTCTAGTTGTCACTTAAAGCTAACCATTGCGCGCAGTGTGCCTTTTCAATCAATTTAAGTAAAAATGGTGATGAATCTGTATACAGGGTGTCCCAGAAGATGACGTCAAGCTGAAACCGAGGGATAGGCCAAGTCAAAACAGTTATCAAAAAAATATAAAGGATTGAAAAAATCATAAGGTTTGAAAAAAATAGAAAATTTAGAACCCGTGATGATCATTTAGAACATATTACTATAAAGGTAGTAAGTAGTAGTAGTAAACGGTACTTTTATTAATTCATGTTTGTGTAGTGACATCATGTCTGTGTACACCGTACAGGAATACACCAACATGCGCCTCATTTATGGAGAATGTAGGCTTTATCGTCAGAGGTACCCAAATATTCTTCCAAGTTGAGTTTTGCCAAACAATGTTTCAGAGACACCAGGAAGATCCCCGATTTTTAGAGAAAATTTTACATACTGTTGAGAAGACATTAAAAAAAGATGGATATATGAACCTATACAAATTACACAAGTGGCATGTAGAAAATCTACATTTGATTAGACAAGATAGATGACAGTACCATGGACCGTGATTCTAAATGGAAGAATCATTGTAACCTTCGAGCTATCAGAGTCCTTGAATTTTCATTCTTTTCTTAGTCATTTTACAAAATCATTGGAAGACGTAACACTAAGCATTTATAGAGATATCTGGTACCAGCGAGATGGCTGACAACTTGATGCGGAAAACCCGAACAGCTGGACAGGGCGATCTGGTACAATTTCGTGGCCAGCCTGTTCACCTAGCATAAGTCCACTCGATTTTTTTAATGGGGAGCGGTGAAAAAATTCTTTTCTCGAATTCAATAGAAAATTTAGCTGAGCTACGGGGAGGATAATGGAAGCAGCAAAATTTGTTAATATAATAATAATAATTTGAGCATTTATTGTAAATTTAATAAATACATTCATGAATTAATGGAAGTGGCGTTACTATCTGCCTCATTGTCAGTATGTAGAATGAGACTGTCCGTCACTCCGTCTAAGAAAAAATTGCAATTGATGGTAATGATCACGACAGGGTGTAGATTTTTCCGATTTTTTAAAGCCTATACATTGAAAAGTACACGACTTATATTTTTTATTATTTTTCTAATGGCTTGGCCTATCCCCAGTTTCGGCTTGCAGTCGGCTTCTGGGACATCCTGTATATCAAACATTGATATAGGTGAGTCTTTATTTCAATTGCGTACATTGGCTTATTCGTGAAACAAAGTGTAATCACTTTAATAGTATACAGGCCATAAAAAAATAAATTTTATGGTTTCAAAGGTGATTAAGCTCTTGTAAAACTTACCCGCCATATGATCGATTAGTATAGTATCTGTTGAAGCTGACACACTAATAATACAGACAAATTAAGGTGATAAGTTTCACCTGTTTCTACTAACGTTCTATTAAACAATTAGTTTCATTACACTGGAGCATATTTACATGAAGCCGGATGTTGTCAGCAGTAGGCACGATCAATCTTTTTCTCTCTCCCCATACTTCACTATGCTAGTTTCCTATCTTCATAAGATGATACTACTCGTAAGTATTGAAGGTCGATGAAAATCGCCCTCTGTTTCTGGGTTGTGTACTCTGACTGATATAATGGCAAGTTTTAAGGATTACTGCTAAGGTTAGTTTCACTAAGCAATTAATTAAGATACAAATACAAGTTGGTCAGACCGTAGTACATTTGTAATGCTGTCGTATTTGTTACCCGCTGCTCGTTCACGCTCCAGGTATTTATACGTAGAGATGTATGCATTTTCAATATACTCACATTTGTATCTATATACGCGAAGAGCTCAGTTCCTGAACTTCATGTAGCCCTCAGAAGACACGACTGTCACCAATTCCATATAGCAGCATGAACCTACAACAAATAAATTATGTCATCTCTTACAAGGTAATAATAATACCTGCTTTATAGTGTTGCACCTCATGTAATGCACTGCAGGTTTTATGGGATTTCCCAATAACAATGATACGACCACCCCATGGTTCTTCTATAATGATATAATCACCAGTATCATATATTTCCAACAACACCGGCTCCCGATTTAGGTAACTTAATATCGATTTTTTATGACATTATGTAAACTTTTTCTTGATGTCATGTAGGTTTTCCTATCAAATGTCACCTTTGAACTAGCTGACATTCGCTTCAAGCTCATTTGAAGTAGGTGCGGAAAGAACCAGCGGTCCACTCCCGGCTACCTAGTGCACAAGTTGACATTTAACCGATGTTTTGATGTTATATAGGCTTTTAGGTAATAACCCTGCAGATCCCTTCTTTTGTTCGCACGTTAAGCCAACCAATTTGGACTAGGTAGAAGAAGCAAGCATATGATTTGTTTTGAATCAAAATTACTGTCAGCACGCAAGTTCCTACTACAAGTCGATCATGCTTAAGGTGCCAATATGACAGGTTTTCATATTTCGCAATAAATTCGTACTTTTCTACAAACTCGTACAAAAGTGCTTGTGTACCAGATAATTGCCGAAAAGGGTGAAGTTTGCCGTGGAATGCAAAAAACAAAACACAGCAGATCTTTTCATCGACGAGTGTTGATATTATATTGTAGACATCGGCGTTGCGGAAAGGCATGTACTTTAACGTTGGACTTTTACGCCGACAGTTGTGCACCTAAAACGACACCGAAAAATGCAAAATATTGGAGACAAACCGAAACATTAACTTTGAGTCTTATGTTCTGCAACTTTGAATATAAAAGTTCTTAAAAAAGAAATATGAATATCGAATTAATTAAATTACTCCCAGATCTTTTCGGATAAATGTAGCGACAATGCAGCAGTAATATCCATATTATGTTGAACTAGGTATTTGCTTTGAGCCAAGAATCTGCTCGGATCACAACAGCGATTTAGGAAGACCAAGCAGAATTCAATCAAGCTGTCCCACTGTCTTCAATATCAGGTAACTCGACATTGTTGCTATTTTATTTCGTATCTTATTTTTTATCATCGAGAATCACAAATTAGACAGAACTGCTAATATGCGGCACCGTTCATAAATATTTGCTTTTGCTTCTTTGCCTTATTTAATTTATCTACGCTTATTAACAACAACACAGGCCCACAAAATAAAAAAAGTGGTGTGTACTGGGGGTCACACTAAATACTTTCCACGTCTTTTTTCCTACTTAACAAGACTCTGCAGTCAAAATTGGGGGTCGCTGGTCAAATAAGAGAGTAATTTAGACATCAATATAATAGATTTTGGTATTTTTGGTGGATAGGATTTCTACCCCGCTGTACGTGAATACCACTATTATTGCATTATTGTCTGCTTTTTCCATAGTACACCGATGTACTGGTTTTCCGCCTTGGTAGGCAATGGTATGGAAATTAGCCAACAGTATGTACTAAAACTACACAATTATGAAGACAAACAATGCAATTTAAACTTGTAGGCTCTACTCATTCCAATCTGTTCGAATTCGTTGCGTTGAACTGTATTCATTAGTCGCAGCATTTGATCAACAAAGTATCAAATCGGACGGCCGTGTGGGATGGCCAACTGAAAACTGCTGTCAAACTGAAAAAGCTATTCCACGGCCACTGCTATTATGCATGAAAGCACTGCACCACGGGACCGCTTTACGTTAGCTGAAATCGTTGTACGTTTATCAATAGATATGCTTAGTTGCACCTAGCTACGGGCTATCGCTGCGTGGAGTATAGCCTAGTCTAATCTGCTAAATAAGGTCTGAAATAATTGCTTTAAAAATTTTAAAAACCTGCTTTTTGACCCATGATTGTGAGATACGTATTGAGTTGTGCTAGTTGTGAGTAGATTGAGTTAATAGCAAGCTACCTCACAACAGCTACGTGCAAATAACGAATTCAGACAACGTAGAAGCAGAAAACCTACAATTTGTTTGTCTCCAAAATTACGTAGCCAGTAATCAGGATGCAAGTACATATTAGAGGTCGGTCAGGCTTAAGCTGCAAGTTTGACAGTTGTTGACATTCCACATTAAATTCTAAGCTTTCTGCGAAAACATATGAAGGTTTCTAGCCGGTTGCCAGAATTGATGAAGCTTTTTGTGAATTGCAAAAAGCAGTTTAAGCTCAATAAGAGCAAATCTTCTTATCGTTAAGGTAAGGTTTTTTTAAAGAGCTGTATGCCCAACCACAATATTGGAAAATGCAAAGTATTGGAGACAATCCAATTTTTTCTGAATCTGAAAGTTCTTGGTAAAGGCACTTTCGCATTACAAGTAGTTTTAGTGTCTTGAGATCCTATGGAGAAAACTCAGTATGAAATAAAAATACTATGAATACCAAAGTAATTAAAAATTTTCATTTGATAACGATAGTGGACAATGATATAATATATAATAGCAGGAACTTCTATATTATGCTTAGCTAGGTCTTTGGTTTTCGTCAAGAAACTATCCGGTATGGGTATTATGTAAAAAACCTATAAAGCATAAAAAAAATACCTATGAAATGTCATCTTGCAGACAAGGTAGTCTTTAGGGTACAAACAGTCATTCCACATTTGCTCACTAGGATCGTTGTCAGCATCCATCTTTGGAGGAATAGCTCATCTACACGTATTGTAGGTTGCATATATTTTTTGAAGCCGAGTAGTCTGTAGTTTCCATCTCTGAGAAGAAAGTTGGTTGAATAGCAAGATCGCATCTGGATGATTATGTGTATTGGTCTGTATATGTATAAAATCAGTGATATTTGCTGTGCGAGAAAATTATTACTGAATATGCTGCCAATAAAGTATATCTATTAGCTGTGCCCGACGGGTTACTTATATGTTCTCCTTTCTGAAGAGAGGTTATGTTCAAAGTTATAAAGTACATTTTTTCACGTTTTTTGTGCTTTCAAAGACTTTGAGGAGAATTACGGGAAATCACCACTGCGCCCGCGTTGTGTGTAATTACTTATAGCAGGTATATGACTTAGTAACGTAATTCAACAGTGTACAGTGAATGAAATTATTTCTTATCTCTCACACTTTTGAAATTTAGCAAATTTGCATATGTAATTTCCAGAATGGATAAGAAAAAGTGGATGCGCAACTTATTTCTAGCGTTGAATCTCAAGTACGTGTATTTGAGACAAGGATCCAATGGAATTATCATCAACACATATTATTAGTACACAAAACCTCACTATGCACCTATGCATTGCCGTTTCCTTCTAGCTATAGTATACAACTTACAGCTTAGACTCCAGTAAGGCCATCTCTGAAACCAGCTATTAGTTATGCATCTGCGGCTTGGCGTTTTCTTGCCAAGACGCACATTCAAAGTCTTCAAGTACTGCAAAGCAGAACTTTGCGAACAATTTGAGATTGCTTACTTGAGGGATTATGTCAAGCTTTAGGCGCAGCGCCGTTAAACTCAAACGGAATCGCACAACAACCCTCTGTTGCGTAGCTCAATGGACTATACAGTTGAGCAGGTTCGTAAACATTCAATGACACGGTTCACACTGTATTCAAAAATTAGCGTGAAACTCAAAATTACACTCTAACAAAACCTTAATCAAAATTTGTTTAGTTCACTACAAAATTAATCCGTGTACCAAGTCAAAAAGCCTAAGTATTTCCGCTTAAGCTAAACACCTCTCATGTTTCTTTGCTCTTCTCTTTCTCTCTGCTCTCCTTTTTTCTTCTCTTTCCCTTTCTCTTTTTTCTTGACATTGTCTGGTTTCTGGGCAACCAGGACTGACAGATTAGACTAACGTACATTAGACAGTGACTAATGGGCAAAAATCCTACGAACCCCCCAGATAATCAAATGACGAATAGTACCATCTCTGAAGCAAATTTTACATCTCATCAGAGCCAAACATTGTTAACTGAAGTCTCATGACGTTTAGGCAACACATACAACTACAAAACGAGTTCACAACGTGTCAATCAGCTAGTGCCAAGTTAACATCTTGTAGAAAAACCTACATAATGTCACAAGAAACCAATAGAATGTCAAAAAAATCTACATAATGTCACTTTTCAAGATGCGTAATACCCGTGCGGATCATGACAACTATTTAGAAAAACCGAGTTGAATGTAAGCACTATTTCCTATATTAGGTATTTCGTCATTGTTACTGTTTGATGGAGATATATATATATATATATATATATATATACAGGGTGCGGCAGAGAGGACGGACGTTCTTGGGATGGGTAGTACTCTCCGCCTCCGTCTACGAGAGAGGTGGGGAGGGTGCCGTTTGACTCGTAAGATCCTAGCATTATTTTATCAGTTGTCGTTATGGAGCCTTGGACGGTGGAGCACTGCGTTGTCGCCTATGATTGTTTCGTCCGAAATAATGAGTCAGTCATCGTCGTACAGCGTGAGTTTCGCCGCCACTTCAACATTCATCGAAATAGAGCTAATCCCTCTCGAAACACCATCCTTCGTTGGGTTGAATCACTTCGCAGGCGTGGTGAACTGATCAACAGAAGACCCAGAGGAGCGCCGCGAACAGTTCGAACTCCTGAAAATGTTGAACGCGTTCGACAGGTCTTACTTCGCAGTCCGACTCGGTCTGCCCGGAAACATGCTGCTGCACTTCGCCTTAGTGATCGTTCGGTAAGGCGAATTTTGCATATGGATATCCGCTTTTACCCCTACAAATTGGCCATTGTGCAACAGTTAGAGCCCGGAGATTATGCACAACGAATGAACTTCGCACGTGAGATGGAAGCACTGATCGATCAAAATGAGAACCTCATTTTGTTTATGAGTGACGAAGCCCACTTTCACCTAAACAGCATGGTTAACCAGCAGAATTGTCGTTATTGGGCTAATGAAAATCCGCAACAGTTACACGAAAGACCGCTGCATAGCCCAAAAGTAACGGTTTGCTGCGCTGTATCGCAAACTTGCATCATTGGCCCTTACTTCTTCGAAGACGGTAATGGTCATGATGTTACCGTGAACTCAGAGCGCTACGTCGACATGATCACCAACTTCTTTCTCCCTGAATTACGAGGGCGACGTGTTCCAATCCGACGTGTGTGGTTCCAGCAGGATGGGGCGACCGCCCACAAAGCCCGAGCATCCATGGACGTTATTCGCCCTCTCTTCCCTGGTCGCCTTATTTCCAGGTTTGGCGATGTTCATTGGCCTCCTCGGTCCTCAGATTTATCCATATGCGATTTTTTC